CGTCGATGTTTCTCTCTCATTGATGTTTCTAACTCTCTATCCCTCTCCCTTCCTCTCTGTAAAAAATCAATAAAATATATTTTAAAAAAAACCTATTATAAAAAAAGGGGAGGGGGGGAGTAACCTTCAATTCCGAGTTTCTAGTTCCAAAGCCCAACTGGACTCGGTCCTTGGGGTTCAGTAAGATACCTTTACAGCCTTTAGATAAACAGGTAACACAAAAGTCCTGAGGAGGATACACAGGGTTGGACACATCATTAGGCAGGACTGTGTTACTGACCAACTTTAAACAATAATAACGAAGAAAACCACCAGATGATTAGACCAGGTAAAGCCGGATGTCAAGGTTGGATCTAACCGGGGCATCCAACAGTGAATGGCATTTTCCTTTTCGCACTTTTGAATTTACTTACTTTGACCTCCATAAGGAGTTCCACCATAAAAACAAGCCACTGACAACTTTTTTGTGATGTCGCTGAAGTCTCTGCTTACTTGATTTGCCAATTCTCTAGTGGGTGTAAGAACCAGTACCTGAAAAGAAAAAACTAAATTTAATTCGTAACAAGTATTTTCAAAGCATGTGCTTTGTAATGTGCTGTGTGTGTCGAAGGATAATATAGTTTCCAGCAAGCCTACTCAGAAGAAACAGCTGTGATCTCCCCAATCAGAAGAAAAGTAGTTGCCCAAAGGTACGGTGCTCCAGGAGCTGCACGGAGCAGGCTGAGCAGCTGGGGGGATGTTCATGGAGCTGCTGGTACTTAAAGAACAGCGCGCCAGGAAAGGAACAACACCGCTAATAACATTAGCTAATATCTGTGCTTTTACTGTGCCTCAGGCTCTACTAAATGCTTAATATGCAATATTCTCACAAGGTATTCACCTATAATATCTACAATGATACACAAGAAATTTCTAAAACCAAAGGCTAAGAGGAGGCTAAGCCTGGATTTAAGAGTCAGGCTCCAGCCCTAGCTGGTTTAGTTCGGTGGATAGAGCGTCGGCCTACAGACCAAAGGGTCCCAGGTTTGATTCTGGTCAAGGGCTCCTCCCCGGCCTGGGCCCTTGTCAGGGCTCGTGCAGGAGGCAACCAATCAATGTGCTCCTCTCACATCAATGTTTCTATCTTTCCCCTCTATCTTCCACTCTCCCTAAAACAGCGGTTCTCAACCTGTGGATCGCGACCCCTTTGGCGGTCGAACGACCCTTTCACAGGGGTCGCCTAAGACCATCCTGCATATCAGATATTTACATTATGATTCATTAACAGTAGCAACATTACAGTTATGAAGTAGCAACGAAAACAATTTTATGGTTGGGTCGCAACATGAGGAACTGTATTTAAAGGGCCAGAAGGTTGAGAACCACTGCAAAATCAATGAAAAAATATTCTCGGGCAATTATTAACAAAAAAAAATAATAATAAATAAAAGAGCCTGGCTCTAAAACCTGTGATCTGAACCTAAGGCAGGGCCAACATGAAGGACTCTGAACCCTGAAGCAGTCTTTGATCCAGCAGGACACAACATGAAACCACTACAGATCCTCCAGTAAGGTAACCTGACACACATAGGATTTAAGAGCAACAACCCAATACATTCATCCAACAGATATTACTGAATATCCACTATGTGCCAGATGGTATTCTAGGTGCCAGAATAATTCATTTACTGCTGTATTTGTTAACAGCAGTAAACAAATAAATTAATGAGACGGAAGCATGGTCACAAAAGGCCAGTAAACAAGTGAGGTAGGGCCAGAAATTCAGGTACAAGAACCTCCAGCCAATGTGAAAACACAGGCATTTTAGTTAAGTAGGGAGGTTGGCCTCTTCACCTCTCTGCGTGTCTCTCCTTCCACTCATGCATCGCTACTAAAAACAGGTTTCTCGTCCTGGCCAGGTAGGTCAGTTGCTTAGAGCATCATCCTGATATGCCCAGGTTGTGGGTTCAATCCCAGTCAGGGCACATATAAGAATCAAACAATGAATGCATAAATAAGTGGAACAACAAATCGATGTTTCTGTCTATATATACATAGCTCTCCCTAAAATCAATCAATAAATAAAAATGCCTGTGTCTTTAAAAATAAATAAATGCTTTCTCCACTTCAAGTAAAAATGATAGACACTTGACCAAACCCGTGAGCCCTAGAGACAATCTAATAGTTTGACAGAAACATTGTGAACATTAATAAATAATACAGGTGGTCACAACCATGGGATGGATTACAATATTTAAATACCGTATTTGCCGGCGTATAAGACGACTGGGCGTATAAGACGACGCCCTAACATTTCCACTCAAAATACAGAGTTTGTTATATACTTGCCGTATTAAGACTACT